CGGGTACTTCCCGGGCACTTGGCGGGTACTTGATTATTGCAATTTATGAATGGACTCGTTCTAAATCGTGTACAGACGACATACCCGAGAACATAAGCAAGACATACCTAACAACAATATTTTTGACCGAGAGCTCGACTATTTTTGCAAAAATACTATCGTGTAGAGTGGAAAAATCCCTACTGATATGGTATTTTACTGTTATTCGAGGTAACATTACTTAAGTATAAAAATTTAAAGATGTTTTCGTCCAACATGAGAGTGAGAAAGACAGTAAGCGCGTGGATAAACCTCTGACAACATAAGGAGCAGACAATATTTACCTCAAGGTAAAAATTTTTACATCCAACCTTCAAGTTACCAGCAGTAGCTGACGCTCTTGCGTGCGCACATGGATATAGTTCTCACTGCTTACCGACTAAGCTCCAATAACAATGTTGCAACGTCGCGAGTTCATGCGGGCGCGCTATAGCCTTCCAACCCCATTTAGGGGTAGTTTGGAACGTATTTTCAATCGGCTCCTATTTAAAATCTATTTGCCCTAAAAAATTAATTCCAACGGGGTTCGCGTCAGAAAAAATCGCTCTACACGTGGTTCTCGGGAAATGCCACGGTTACATATCATGCTGTATATACCGTGGGGCCAATTTCACCATTAATCATGGTCTTGATCGTGCAGCTTAGGCATTCGACTGGATTCACCAGCAGATGATACGGTGGTGTAAGTATTTGCCGTTGATCTAAGCTCTCCAAGAACCCGTCAACGTCTTTGTTCTGGAATTCAAGGCCGTTATTCATCAGCAGCACTTCCAGGGTTCTATGGCAGCATGTGCCACTTTCTCTTAATGCACGTACAACCGCCTTCCCATTGGTTCACAGTAATGACACGACTTTGGCCAATCTGGTGAGTAGACAAGGATATATTCGTAGTTATACGTCGTTTTTGGTAGGGAGTCCATTATGTCTACGACCACTACATGCCCACAGTAAAGACATGCTATAGTTTCGTTCGGCCGATGTCATGGAACAGCTCACTAACTCCAACACCTTTTCCTGTCCGTTGACATGATACTCACAAACACGCCTTCATGGAAGATCTTTCCACGTCTGTTCAATGAAGTAACGCTCGTCAAGCGTTTTGTCCTTATCTGTTTTTCGAAGGGCAGGTCTTGTAATTTCACATTCTTTACGTGGGCTCTTTTTGACTTTAAAACTCGCGCTTAATCGTATTAAGCTCACTATATACTCATTGGCTTTTAATAACTTATCGCACAGCAATCTATTTTTTCCTTCGAGAAACGGCGCTGATTGAGCTCTTTTATCTCCTTCCAAGTTGATGGTTGAAAAGGGTATATTTAAAAGCTCGTCTTGACCCGTAGTGGCCTCGGTCTCCGTGTTTGATCTTACCGCCATTATCGTGATTTTAAGGATCTTTCTTATTCCTATATTATCCTGTGTTGACGTCTTTCACCAGCTCTAAGTCTCCGGAAATGTATCGCCTCGCTTGCCACTGGCAGAGGTAATGAGCCTCGACTGTTTTGCTTCCAGTCATTAACAGCTCTCAATTTATTAAAAAATCACAGCCAAGATCTCCCTTTAGTAGTGACGTACATCAGTCACTCAACTGGTCCTCTTGTTGGTGTGGTAACAATTCCGTGGTACTCTGGATGTTATTTCTTTCGCACTATACAAGTTTATTGGCAGTATAAGTGCAAATTACTAACGCTCAAAATTAGCTTGGGATGAGAGAGCTGATGCATAGACGAAACTTGCGTCAAGGCTTCAGCTAGACACAATTCTTCTACCTATATATATTCTTTTACGCTTTAAATTAGATTATTGATTTAATACGATTTGTTCATCAGAAGCTATATGCTAGAGAAAGTATATTAATGTCCCCAACTCTCTTTGTGTGTGTGTATATATATGTGGTACAAAGTCAAGATACATACATGTATACTATACCTAGCACACATACACTACAGTTTCTGTGCTCGTCGCACTACGAGCCATGAGAAGCCAACAACTGTGTATGTATGTATGTATACCAGTGTAAATACACTTTATATACTGTATGCACTGTAGATCAACGCTTAATGCCAGTGAAAATTCAATTTCACAGGCTAAGCTTGTTGCCTATCAAAAATAATATTTTGTTTTGAAGTATTATTTTCTTTTTCGCTTGCACTTGTTTACAAAATTTTCAAAAACTTAAAGTCAGTAATGGCTCAAAATTGTAATGTAAACAAAGCCACTATAATGTCGCACAATGCCTAGACTCATACGTTATTCTGTTAAGCACCAATGATATGGGGTGCACGAGAAAGGGGGTGAACGAAGCGGAAGCTTTCACTTCGACCAGACCTGTGTTGTCCAGATAACCTCAGCGATACCTCCTCATAGTGTAATTTCTGATCATACTGTAATACACGTGGTTCTTGTCCATCGAGATATCACCACGATTAGACGGCTTCTGCTGTCATCACCTCTCACGACAATTTGTGTACACGAAACGGGAGGAAAGGCGGAGCAGGATACACTGAAATACTCGCGAGGGATATTTAAAATAGAATAAATGTATATTTGAACATAATACAATAAAATAATTTCTTTTGCAGGTGCAGGTGCGTGTCTATGTGTGTGTGATTGTACACGTCGAGCACGGTAGCTCAACGAGATCGTGGCGTAAAACCGCGACACAGGCAAACCTACCTGGGCTAAAAGAGGGCCACCTTAACAAAAGAGGCTGACCTTAACAAAAAAGGACGGGATGGCAGGTACTTACGGTCGCTGTGGCCACCTTTTCGCGAGCTGTCGGGAAGCTCGTGCTTGCACAAGGAAAAGCTAGCAGGCATCCCTGCTGGTAGAGTCCGAGGGTTAATTAAGTTGCTTGTTGTCAGCACTGACCTTAAGTCACTCGTGGCACTCGCACTCCTCGGTTCACACACTAGAATAGTGAACAGCCTGGTCTTGGGGCATTTGCTTTCACAGAAACACCACGAACAAGATAGGGAACAAACCAGATCAGTTACAATGAATATTCTTGAATGAATGATATTTACATGAATGAATGCTCTTAGCTTTTTGGGCTTTTCCCCTCATTTCTTGTGAGGGTCAAAAAATTCTTGATTATTCTTATACATAAAAAGCTTGATGATGTGATCAATCATACTCATATAAGGGTTAGTATGTAGGCACCTTTATAAGGAAAAAGGAGTCAAGTAAGGAACTCCTGGGTACGAAGCTGGATTCGCATACCCCTCACCCGTAGCACGAGATACCTTACTGAGAGTATATAGGTACACAGTCAGGCTCGTATTGCCCCTAATAGGTAGTACATGACATTTCGGGTGAATTTTCTGTCTTTTAATAAATAATAAAAGATTTAACTCTCTTTGAACACTACTGAGTACAATAGTTCCTTGATGTCTCGGGATAGCATCAGTTCGTATTGCCCTGAAGATCCACCGATTCTCTATATAGAGGATTCACACTGATTCGCAATGCTCCGGAGGTCGGCTCCTTACCTGAGTAATCCAAGAAAGAGAGCAATGGTGGGGAAAAACTAAGAGACTGCACTAGCCTCGTCGTCGTCTCACCTATTACTATGTTTTATCAAAGCCAAGATTAAATGAAGAACAATACAAAGTTTTAAGAAAATACACGTATTTATCAATTTATTGAGCATTAAATGTATACACGACGCTATTAAAGAGCCAAGCTTATATGTAAAGGGTCGGACCCACTGCGTAAGGCAGAAGCAGAGTGATCGGTACATGTCCCTAATGGGCCTTTTATACCCAAATCAGCTGCGGCAGCTTAAATAAGGCAGCTTGACCACTAGAGAAACTATAGTTTCACTTAGTTGTTTTATTACGTTATAGAGGGCACTAATACACATTTATAGGCACGAGAATTGGAATGAGCAATAGCTTCGGTTTGGCGATATATCTGACCACTAAATTAACTGAAATATATTTGTAACCTTACATTCTCTCCAGTCCCTTTTTACTTATGCCCTATATTCTTATCCTCACTTTGTCTAAGCTGTTTGTCTGCACGGCACGGCAGTACTGGACTACTTATCTGTTAAAGTGGTACAAATTTGAATGCCTGTACGCATGGAACTCAGTTATTATAGAATAGCTACATTTTTAAATAGTTGGATTTAGTTTCGTTAGCTATAGTTTTAGAAATGCACAGAAAAGAAAAAAAAACGTTTTTTTTTTTTTTTCATTTCAACTTTCTACTTCAACGTGTAAAGGCAAGCATGTTTTTTTGTTAAAAATAAACAGTTGCTATGTGTTACCCATGGTTTACCAAATTCAAAGCCAAATTAATTTAACAGTTGTTAAAGTAATGCTTTATTTGAATGCAGTGCTTATGCTTTAAATCCTACAGAGATCCAGGTCTTATTTACTGTAAACATCTGTTGATTGAAATTAAAATAAAACTAATGTACTTTTATTGCTGATTAGTAAGATCATGAAATTTTTGTTTTAAAATGCTATTTATACGAAAAAAAACATGATTCTTATCTAAAACTATAAATATAATTAAAATTTACTAACTATCGGCTTTTACCATGATGACCAAATAACAAAAGTATACTTACTCAAATAATATAGAATAATCTAATCCATGAAGCAAAAATATCGAAAAAAATATGACATATACGAATTGAACGAGTTCAAAAACTTCTTGGAGTATCATACAAATAAATCCATGTTTCTGATGGTAATAATACATCCTTGTAAAGAAAGAATCTAAGTCTTCGATGTGGTTCCATCGTGATTTTTCACTTTCTGGCACGACATGAATTATGAGATTAGAATCATGAGGCCTTTCTTCATTATCATCATCACCTTCCGTTTCTGACGATGCATTTAACTGTTGATAGCTATCTACTACTGTTGTCATCTAAACAAAAAACATTTTTTTTAACAAAAGACAATAGTGTAAGTATTATAAACGTTCACACCATCATTGGGTAGATGATTCTTACTACATGTATGGGTGCTTTCCAGTAAGTTAGATATAGTATATGAATTATTAAAAACAATATCATATAGTATTAGGAATGCCGTTACATTATTATTTCATTTTTAATGACTGTCCGATTAGTAAAAAATTTTTATTTTCATTCTAGCATAATCGTAACTTAGAATAGCTTCTTACTCTACTGGGTATTACGAATACATGTTAAGGTAGATCCCTTATCTACTGCTCTAGTCAAGCAGGAGAGTTTCACTTGTGTATGTATATGTATATACATACATCAGTGTTGGTATTCTGCTACCGTCTGTCATTCATAACCATGAAGCTGATTTTTATGTCTTTCTAGGCAAAAATCTTTGGAAAATGCCCTATTCCTAGCATTTTACATGACAGTATTGAGACGAACAGAGATTTTTTTACAAGTACATCATAACTTGTCTGCTCAGATTTTTTATTGTGAGTTGGGAAATGCCTGTAAAGCTGATTTTTTGGTGCTCTGCTATTTGAGCTCGTCTTAAAAAGTTGAACTTTGAGCTGAAATATCTCGAGATTTTGCTCCACTTGTGGTATAAACAAGGACACCGTTAAATTAAGTAGATCAAAATCTATTAAATGAAACATATTTCATTTCGTAGATTTTTGCAAGGGGGCTACCTTAAAAGTATTTAGTAAAAACACACTTCAATAAAATATATATTTTTATAATTTGATAAGTGGAAACACAAATTTTTGAAATTCAATGTAAATTTCTTCAGTTGTCACAACACTTTTAAATACGCTAAGAAAACTTTTCCAAGAATTTGAACTAGTTGTTTTTAAAGTTATACTTCTATAGGCGCGTCTTGCCCTACGGAGTAAATCAACGATTTAACATTGGTGACCTTGAGAAAAAGTATGACGGAAGTGGATTTTGCTTGATTTTACTTGAACAGTTCTCAAATAGATTTGAACCTCTGACCTCCTGCATACTGGGCTAGTCGCTTAATTTTTTTAATTTTTTTTTTAAAGAATGTTTATGAACTTTGATGGGGTTACATTATTCTTGTGAGTATTACACATATATTAAGCAAAGTTCTAAACATACAAACTAAAGCTTGACGATGACATATTTTATTAATACACGCATACGGCCCTACTGAGGAGCACTACCGGTGTGACGATAGCTATGGTTAATTGTATATAGCCATTTTTGTAGTAAGGAGTTATGTAGTCCCTTTATAGATTGCTGTCATTGGAAGTGTGCGGAAAAACAGCACGCCCTCTTGGTAAAGAAAACGCATCTTAATGCTTGCTTGGTTTCTTAACATACCAATATACCTACATTACCATATAGGTATATTTTTATTAAATCTTTATTAGACTTGTCACTTGAGGTTTTTTTTATTAGAATTCACAAAATTTATTTTTTTATTTATAATATAACAACAAGTAACAACATTTGTAGCAACGTGACTAATTTCCTTGTCAAAATTTCACAGGAAAAAAATCCTTAATGATTTCACCGAGAATCGAACCCACGCATCTCGAAACTCTTCAGACTGCGAAGCTAGCATGCTAACCATTCAGCCATCCCAGCTCCTCGGCTGGTCCCTCACATAGGAAAACCGACATAGGAAAACCGATGACTTTATTATACCGTACAGTTCATAGATTATTTTCAATGTAAATTTTAATTTATTGTGTATTCATTTGTTTGGTTTCGTTTTACATAAAATATATAAGCTATTGAATAAATTAAATTTTTTTGGTACATGTTTTTTTATAATTAAATAAGAAATTATAGATCTATTGAACAATGAAACAAATGCTCTCTGAAAATAAAATCACTTGTTAAAATTGCACACACATGCCCAGACATAAAAATTTTAATTTTTGGTTTATTTTTCAATTTTCCTGTTTTTAAGTGATTTTTTCATAAGGTTACATGTTAAATTGCAAATTTTTAAAATTAAACATTTAAAAGAGGGTACAGTTAAACGATCTGCAATTTTTTTCGGTATTTCTTACAGTATTTTTAGTATACTTTTGATACTCGAATGATATGTGTCAAAAATAATATTTGTCCCCTCAAGGGACATTCACTGGCATGTATTGTTATGCTATGGAAAAAAGCAGTACCACAGAATGATTTGTCTCAATTTTTGCGATACAATTATATTTTGGATGTTAAAAATGGACTAGGAATAAGTGTGTGAGCATATGTGATGAATGTGAGCGTGACGTTACAGATGTAATCAGCGTAGGCAGTAGGAAGTTGTTTTGAAACCATCGGAAGATTCGAAGACAGTGCACAGTCTTGTACTGGCCAGCCTCCATATTGTTTGTATTGTATTGTGCCATTATATCTTTTGTTTATAATTGTTTAGTTATTAAACAATAAAATAATAAGTGAAACCATACTCAATCAACGTAGGTATACTCATTTAAACGATAATTGCACCACCTTTGTACACAGTATAGTTTCATGGAAGGCGTATTTATATTTATAATTATATTATCTGCCATATAATTTTATAGAAGTATAACTTCTTACTTGGGTATCCAAGCACCCACTGTCCACTGGTTTGTTACTTACAATATTTAGATATAATTAATTCCCTGGCTGATTATTTACAATAAGTGTACCACTAAGTATTATGTATGGTAAATCAAACAATATGTGGTAGTTTTATTGCATATTCATGATGTAACTTGCCTGCTCTATTTTTTAGTTTGCAACTTGCAATAAAAAATGAATGGGAGGTGTGAAACATAAGTAGAGTATTAATTATGTATCTTGCCATCTAAAATAGAAAAAAAATGTGAAAAACTTTGCAAAATTGGAGGCATAGTCTTATCGAATATAATCTAAATCAACGAAAAATATTTTACGTTATTGGTAGTTGTCCATGGATTACCAATTCTGCGCATATGCAAATAAAGCTACAGTATAACGTTTGATTAACCATACATAACATTTAGCAGTATACTTATTTTAACTTAAAAGATCGATTTCTTTTATCAGCCTAATAATACTAACAATTTTTTAAACTCGTGTAAATTACAATAATTTACAGAAGTAATGGTAAGTTAAAAAATAATAGTTACGGTACAATCGATGTGTTCAAGAAGTTGAACTTTTTCCAAAAGTTTTTTTACGTAGAACCCCACTGCAATATGTACAACGTGACGTATCACTGGTAGTTCTCGTTGAATAAGTGCTATCGTTTCTGAGGCTATTTTGCGGCTCAAGGGACCTGCGAAGCAGGTACACTGAGAAAGAAGTGGGAGCGGTGATGTACCAGCGGTGGTGAGGTTATGCTCTCATATTTGTAGGGCGTATGTAGCGCCACTTACGGTACAACAGATATTCCGCACTCGAAGGATCGCTTGTATCCTGCATTAGTGGGAACTGTGGCGTCCCACTGGGTGGACAAAATCGCACCGTCAGTGAAATAGCCACATAGGAGACATTTGCAGTCTCGCCAAGTGAGATTGTGTATGCACCGCAAGAGGGGCTCTAGTCTCTTGCTGTGGGACAGCAGCTGCCCCACTCGAGCGGAGATAAGTAGCCCTACTGTTTGGTAAAGCAGAGCTCCTTCGAAAGAGTTCTGCTCTCCCACTTCTTTCTCAGTGTATATAATAGGGTAGCCACGGAGCACTGACTCTTATGTGGCGAATCCTATTTTTCCTACCAAGGGCACACCAGCCTCTTGCAAAAAATTAGTTTTTCCTACCTCGAGCATTCTAAAGAGGCTGGTGTGCCCTTGGTATGAAAAATAGGATTCGCCATATAAGAGCCATCGCTTCGCGGTTACCTTACGTCCCTCAGGCCCTGCTTCGCAGATCCCTCGGGCCGCAAAATAGCCCAATAGACAATGGCACTTATCCGACGAAAACTATTATTTCTTACCATGGGCACGAAAAGCAACTACCCATTTGCGCCCTCAGGTCACACTTTACGCCCTTGAAATGACTTTGGGATCATGGGCAGAATAGTTTTTTACGCCCTCCGGGCCTTAAGTACTTTTTTGCCCTAGGGCCCAAAATTATTTACTGGGCACACAATTAAACTTTGTATTCTTGATAAAAAAAATACTATACGCGACTCAGGTACCAACATACAACAACAGCGCCAATCAGGTGCTTTAGTTTGTACTTTGTGCCCTAGTAATGTAATGTATTATTATTAATTGTGAAAGTCACAATTTGTATCTTAAAAGACTGTTTCCAGTTTTTCAGGATTAATAACTCATACGCAAAGCTGTTGTATTAAAAAAAAAGACATCGTCATTTTTCATCTTGAATGTGTTAACAATTTATAATTCGTTTGATAATGTATTTGATATTATGACATGTATTAATATAAATTTTTTTTCAAATATAAGAAAAAACGCATAATTTAAGTAAAACACATTAGATACTTGCTTTTTTTCTGTAACAATGTTATCATAATAAGTTTGTCATTAGTTACTACGAATGAAAGTAAACGTAACACGTAATTAATCGTAACATGTCAAACTTATGAAGTTTTTTAATTTTGTTAGAAGATAAATTTTGTGAGGATATCATAGTTTTTTAGTAAAATATCATTTTTTACATATTTTTTTTGAATAAGTGTTATAATCAAATACAATTCATATTTACTAGTACTAGATAGATATATATATATAGAGTACTAGTTTATATATATATATACGATCGGTACGAGGTCACTGCAGCGTACTATGGCTTGCTCCAAGCAGTTATCTGTTTTAGCACCATCACGTCAAGAAAAAATAGCCACACGAATGTACTAGTAAAAAAAAAACAGGCCATTAGGCTTATTATTAACTTGCCTGACATGGTTATAAAGTATAGCTATATTTATGTACGTAAATATATAGTATATGATTTAGTCTTATACACAATATATAAAAAGTCATGGTCCTGTATGAGGCTGA